TCTCTCTCTCTCTTTCTCTCTCTCGCTCTATCTCTTTGTCTCTCTCTCTTTTTCTCTTTATCTCTCTCTCTCTCTCTTTCTCTCTCGTCATTCTCTTCATCTCTTTCCCTCTCCTTCGCTCTCTCTGTCTCTATCTGTCTCTCTCTCTCTCTCTCTTTTTCTCTCTCGTCATTCTCTTCATCTCTTTCCCTCTCCCTCGCTCTCTCTCTCTCTCTCTCCTCCTCCCTCTCCCTCTCTTTCTTGTTCCTTCTCTCCCCTCCCTAACTCTCTGCTCTCTCTATATATATATATCTCTTTATCCATACACAGTAGAGGAACGCACGGCGGCGGGCCGGGATCGGGACACGCAGCGGCGGCGGCGCGGGCGAGCGGACAGACGCGCATGCAGCGAGCCCGCGCATCGAGGCGAGCGGGAGGAGCGAGAGGGCAAGCCAAGGAGTCACCGCGCCACCGCCGACGCGCGAGAGGAGGGCGGCGGAGGAGGAGGAGAAGGAGGTGGAGAAGGAGGAGCGACGAAGATTGAGAAATCTGGCGGCGGCTCGGAGAAGCGGAACGCGAAGCAGACGCAGCGAGGTCAGGTCAAAGACACGCCGTTGCCACGGGGAACGGCGGCGAAGAGCAAGGACAGGTATTGGCCGCCGACGCCATCTGTGAATCGCTTTTTAAACGTCATATTTAAATTTAATTCTGTTTTATTTATGTTAATTTTTATTATTAAATTATTTTTATTTTATCATGTCGATAACGAAGCCGTTAAAAGACAAGAGATTGCAGTCTGGTTTAACTTTTATTTCATTTATTTGATACTAGATGGCAGTACGGTCACTTGATTCCCATAAGTCGTGTTATCGCCGGATCTCAAGCAATTATAAAAACATATGACGAAATTTAATTCTCGCAGAGTAATTATTATTATAATCATTATGATAATATTATTATCGTAACCCAACACTTATTGAGTTGGCGCATTCTAACTACCAGGTCAAAAAAGAATGGTTCCGTGATGACAGAGTGTAAGCAGACGAATAAGGCGACACGCTCGGCTAGCCTCGGTGCTCTGAAGAACCGAAACCAACCTTCAGGTGCCTCTGAAGGTGAGTCCGTGTAAAGTCTGCACTTGATTTTCACGTGCAAATTTGTTTGATGCGCTATTAGTATTATGCGCTGCATTAGTAATTGATCGTAATAATGGGATAATGATACTTTAAACATTAATTTTAAAACTGTAAGTGATAAAGTATATACACTATATACTTGTGGCTTATTTGTCACGTTTTCGAGCAAAATGAAAGAGATGAGGGAGGTTTCAAGATCAATTCATGCCATTCCAAATATTTGAGATGAATTTCAGTAATAATAAGCATATAATTATTCATGCGTGTGGAATTTATTTCTGTTTGTGCGTTTCAGGAAAACCGTGTGATGATTCCAGTTCCCTCAACCATGAGAAAAGGCTGTTGGGTTGACAGCGGTTCAGGAACATACACTACTGCAACCCTATGTATACCAAGTTCCCTCCGATTTTCACATACAACCACTAGAGATTATTTAATATAATTATGTAATTAATTATTTAACATACGAAACTCTGTAATATACTCGTTACTTGTTTACTCGTTGCATCGAAAGCGAGTGCATACATGATGTGCAATTTCTTAGCACTTTGGATATTTACATTGTTAGACGTTATGTTTAGGTGGCTAACAGGGTTGTGATTTAATGGCACGGCATGTGACAATTCATGTGACAAGTGATATTGGTGACAGAACGCACCGTCTGGAATGTCCGACAAATGACAAGATGCAATAGGATGTCTAACGTCCCTATAAATTGTACATACATACACGAGTCATTTTACTATGATTTCACTCTGCTGAGATTTCTCGCTCGTATTTCAGTTCAGCTTTTTAGTTTTTGCATCAAAATTCGAGTTACGGTATAGAATTATAGCCTACTGCCCTGGACTACGCGTTGATGGGAGAGCACCAGGAGGTGGCGCAGTATCTGATAGAGCAGGGCGGACTGTCGATCAACGCCATACAGGACATCGCCGTCGCCAAGATTCAGGTTAGTCTCTATATTCGATCGTTTCTATGTTTATTACGTCATTAAATTTAGCATATAATAAACATAACCTATATAACATAATATAATATAACATAACATAATATAATATAACACACATAATATAACATAACATAATATAACATACATAAAACATATATAAATAACATATATAAATAATATTTAAAATTCGTGTAATAATATAATACATAATAATGGTTATAATATAATGATTACATATAATAATGTGATATATACTATAAATCTTAGGCAGGAGTTAGTTAATTGGTCGTAGTGTATCCGGTTGCCTGCTTTTGTTTGTCAGCACGAATAAGCGATAGTGGTTTTTTTTTTTGTCAGTCAAGTATTGAAATTTGAATAGGTCTTTTACTATCTTTGCAGGCTGTTTTCAGGGGCTACAGAGTACGAAAAACGTTCCTGAAGAGGAAAACTTTGCTTATGAAGCATGAGAAACTCAGAAAAGATGCTGCCATGTAAGCACGTTGCGCCACCTATAGTCCGAAATAAGATTTTATTATCCTATAGCAAACGTGCGGAGCTGGTTACAGTTATGGGACGCATTTAATTGCGCCAGGCATATTTTAGCATAGTTTTAGCATGATGGGGCTACTATACTGCCACTACTATCCTTTTCTTTAGGAAACGTGCGAAGGAAGAGCTACAGAAAAAGACACAGGAGCAGGCAACGGGGATCTTTTTCGACTCGCTGCCAACAAACGAGAGAAACAAAAATCAAAACAACAACAACAATGAAGCGTCGGCGAAAATTCACAGAAGGCTCGAGGGAACGGACATTGCACTGGTTGTGGAGGGCAAGAGCATATCGAAATCGGAGTCCGATGAGACGAAAACGATCGAGAAATCAGTAGGAAAATCTACGAAGACGCCATTGAAGGATGCGAAACATCCGGCGCTGAAGCAAGGTTAGTAAGCCGTGCTTAACTATCATCACATCCACCTGATGATATCTGTGATCTCTCTGCCTCTCTCTCTCTCTCTCCTTCTCCATCTCTCTCTCCACCTCTCCCCGCGCCGTCCTCTCGTGCGTCGGCGGTGGCGCGTTGACTGCCTGGCTTGCCTCTCGTCTCATCCCCTCGCTCTCGAGCGCGGCTCGCTGCAGCGCGTCTGTCCGCTCGCCCGGACCGCTGCGGCCGCGCTGCGTGTCACCGATCCCGGCACCGGCGCCTGCGTCCTCTATCTGTGATGGCATAAAGATGATTATATAATAGAGAGAGGCAGGAGTTAGGGAGGGAGAGAAGCGACAAGACGAAGAGAGAGGAAGAGGAGAAGGAGAGAGAGAGAGAGAGAGAGCGAGGAGAGGGAGAGGGAGAGGAGTGAGAGAGAGAGAAGAGAGCGAGGCGAGAGGGAATAGAGCATGAAGAGAATGACGATGAGAGAGAAAGACGAGAGAGAGAGAGAGGGAGAGAGAACAGACACGAGAAGTAAGAGACAGATGAAGAGACGAAGGAGAGGGAAAGAGATGAAGAGAATGACGAGGAGAGAAGAGAGAGAGAGCAGAGAATCAGAAGAGAAAAGGAGAAGATGAGACACATGAGAGATAGAGCGAGAGAGGAGAGAGAGAGAGAGAGAGATGAGAAGAGAGAGTAGAGGAGAGAGAGGAGAGAGAGAGAGAGAGAGAAGCAGGAGAGAGAGAGAGAGAGAGAGATATGAGAGAGGAGAAGAGAGAGAGGC